TGAGAACTGCAGCCTGTTGCGGTTGGATGCAGGCAGAGGCCGCGGGCACGGCTCAGCTTCCCCATCTGCAGAGTGGGAGCAGAATGCCTCCTCACGAGGCTGCTTGGGAATTAAAGAGAAAGAGTGAGCCTTTAATAAATGTGAGTTCTTCTCTCCCTTCTAATTCAAATACCTCATGCGGCAATTTAGAGTCCTGTGGGACTTGCAGGCTGAAATATATGTCTGTCAGTCAGCCACATGTACCGAGTGCCAATATATTATTTTTTTTTGCAGAATCATGCACCAGACATGTGGCAGGGAAAGGAAAAGAAATAGGAGAGAGAATATTGCCCTTGGAGCACACGATGAAGTTGGAGGGAGAACACACACTGCGTGCGCACGCACACACACACACACACGCACGCACACACTTTCAGAACCATTACACAGCACTATTCCATCAAGCCAAACACACCACAACCATATTACGTGAAACCTGCAGAAGGTATCCAAGGGAACAGAAGGATGACTCAAAGGAAGGAGGGGGTGTGGGTGCGGGTGTGTGGCGCGTCTGCGACTCCCTGCACCTGCGGAAGGAGACTCATCTCCAGAACCAAAGCCTTGGCTTGACCAAGTGAGCTGTGTGACCTCCAGCAAGAGCTCAACATCTTCAGGCATCTCTTTATTTATAAAACAGAGACAGGGACACTTTATTGGCACGATGGTTGTGAGGATGAGGGTGAGAGTGATGTCCTAGGTAGAAATGCCTGGCACGGAACCTGGCCCATCGGAACCTTCCCTGTGTTCTGGTTGTGTGCCTCCATCCCCCTCCCACTCTGCCTCCTGCCCCCCGACCACGCCCATCCTGGATCCTGACCCCCTCTCTGCCCTCCCCATGCTTTTGCTGGGTTTTCTGCTACGTTGCTCATTGTGCTAATTTTCCGAGGGAAATTACCAAGCCTGCCCTTTCTAAGCCATCCCACTCATGCTGACTTCTGCAGGCCCCAGGCAGCAGAGTAATAATACATGAATGCTGAATGATAAATAGCACCGTCCACACAAATCTATCAGATGGCGCTGTGCAGATTTAAAATGCAGACACTACATTTTGCCCCTATTTGCCAAGCAAGGAGCAGGGGTGTGTTGTCTGAGGACGGCCCTGTAAACCCAGAAGGCTGGCTTGGGGGCTCTTCTGACCCTGGTTCCGGGAGCCAGCTTGGTGTGGCATGTCATTGTGTAGGAACTGGAGTGTGGCCGGTGCTGGGATGCTATGAGCTGCTGTTGTGACCCAGGGAACCTGTCTCTGGGCTGCAGAGAGATTGCCACGGGGAGCTCAGAACCATGGTGCAAGGAGAAAATCAGAGATGCAGAATGGATTTGTTTCCTCAGCTCGGGCAGCTAAATGCTCCAGATGTGGCTTTCTTCCAAGATGCTCCCCCTCTACAGCGAATGTGTTTCCTAAAAATCCAGGCTCCAGGTCCCCTCTCAGCAAGCAGCCCACAGAGCAGAAGGCACTGACATCTCCCCAGCCACATCCTTAGTTTTTAAGAAGAATATTTTGCATCATAAATCCTTTGATGAAGAAAGAGAGAGAGAACCCTTAATGAAATATGTTAATTTGGGAAAGCCAGGCTCATATGAAAGGGAATATTAAAAGAGACGATATTCACCAGAGCCAGCTCAGTACCCTGAGAGAGCTGGAGAGGAAAGAGAAGAAGATAGGGCCCCCAGTTCAGCTCTTCAGAGTCAGGGAGATGGCAGTGATCAAGTAAGGAAAATCAGCAAGAGCCCTCCAGATTTGACTCCGATGCTTAGCCTGGAAGGGTTGTGGGAAGAGAGTTGTTTTGTGCCAACATCAAAGAAGATTTGGGCCCACAAGGGCAATTCCACCTACAAACTACTGGTAAAAGCAGGAGAGGAGAAAAGGAGCCGCTCCTCAGCTCCCCCCACCTCCCTGTGATTGGCAGCTGAGTGAGGCAAAAGGCAAGGGGTGTCCAGTGTGACCACAACATGCAGAGGGACTCCACGTTCAAAATGAAGGACAAGGGGCTGGGGCTGTGGCTCAGCAGTAGAGCGCGTGCCTCACATCTGTGAAGCACTGGGTTCTATCCTCAGGACCACATAAAAATAAATAAACAAAATAAAGGTATTGTGTCCATCCACATAAAAATAAATAAACAAAATAAAGGTATGTGTCCATCTA